CCTACTTTAATCCATGGTTTAAATATAATAATTGAGATAATACCTTGATAAGTATTTTTCTTAAAATTATTTCTTTGGTAGAGATTGAATTACATGGGACTTGGATCTCCCCAGTGAAAATGGAATGCCACCTCTCTTTGTTTGGAGCCACCTAAAAGGAAACTGACCATTTAAATTGGGGCGTCATTTTGGGTCCCAAACATTAAACACTTTTAATCTAGTGTTCATGGCAATGACATGAGTGCCATGGCCCAAATCAACATCATAAAATGAGAATTATGTCCCTGCTTGTTTTTGTCCATAGCTTATGAAATTGGGTTATCAATTTTGTGGGTCTCACAAAAATCATGTTTGTTTGAAAAAAATAGGTATGGGTACAAACAATCTCATAAGGGAGGTGGTATTCAAGAGAGGTGAAATGATTGTTTTGTCCTCGTTGTACAAAAATAACAAAGTCATCTTTTATATAATGAATGAAATGATTGTTTTGTCCTCGTTGTACAAAAATAACAAAGTCATCTTTTATATAATGAAAATTTTTACGTAATTTCATATATTTAATCTCAATCAACTACCTCCCTAAAAAAAAAAAAAATCTCAATCAACTAATACTACCATATTACTACATAAATAAACACAATCTACGTCACATTTCCAACTTAATATCACCGCGGTAGTAATCCAGCAAACGAACAAAGCTTATTAAATATATATTTTAAAATATTTAAAAGAGCACATAGTATGGCTAGAGTAATCGTATAGCAATTTGAGTAAGTTTGGTTAGGCAAAGGATTTATCCTATTTTTCGTTCGAAGCGTAGAGGTCTAGATATGTTTTGGCATGGCTCTAAATACAACTCAAAAATTAGGTTGGACATTTCAATTCCAATTTTTTCTTTTTTTTAATTTCATTTTACCCATTAATCAAATTACCAAAACAATGCTAAACCCTATCCAGCATCGACGCCCCTCCGATCATCTCCTTCCAATTCCGATAGCCTCTGACCATCCATTCTCAACTTTGGCCAGTGGTTTGTAGTCCCCTTTCCGCGTCGACACCACCCCCTCTACTTTCTTCTCTGTTGTCATCGTCATATCTCCTTTACTTCTTGTCGCCATCCCCCTTCTTCTTTTCTTTCTTCTCGCCGCTCCTCATCATCGTTGCCTTCTTCTTCTTCCTTCTTCTTACAGAAGGATGAAAGAGGTAAAAGTGGAATTATTTGCGGCATTCAACAAAAAATACAAGAATACAAATTTAAGATTAGGGTGTACAAAGTAGTGGGTGGGGTGTTCAACCTAATTTTTGGGGTGTATTTAGAGCCACCCTATGGTAGTGTTTGATAAAATTGAAAACTAAAAACTAAATATTGAATTTTTTAAGCTGAAAAGCTATTTAATAAAAATTTAAATGCTAAATTAAAAATAAATTGTTTGATATGTATAAGATTATCTTTAAAATTTATTATTTTCAAATTGTATATTTTAATTTTTATATTGTGATGGTGGTAGTGGTGATGATATGATGGTGATAGTGGTGGCGGTAGTGATAGTGGTGGCGGTGGCATAATAGTGGTAGTAGTGATGGTAATGGTAGCGGTAGCATTGATGGTAGTGGCATGTTGTTGTTGTTGTTGTTGATGGTGGTGGTGGTAGTGGTGGCAGTGGCATGGTGGTGGTGGTAGGTAGGTAGGTAGGTAGGTAGCTAGTAGCGGTAGTGATGGCGGTGGTGGTAACTACGTCAATAGTAATGGTAGTGGTGGTAATAGTGATAGTAATGGCGGTGGCATGACGATAGCAGTGGCTTGGTGGTGGTGACACGATGATGGTGATGATCGTGGTAGTGGTTGTGGTGGTGGTGGTAGCGGCAGCGACAGCGGCAGTGGTAGTAAGTTTATCATAGAGTAAAATTGGCTTACCAACCCGCGACCCACCCGAAGCTCGCACTCCGCCCAGTGCGGCCAGGCCAGGCCAGGCTTAAGCCCAGCCTAAGACCTTGGGCTTGGGCCGTCTATTTTGAGGTCTGGTCCGGTCCTAGCTCGACCCACTGGCCCGTTCAAGGCCCGGCCCGCCCAAGGCCTACTCTCATTTCCAAACTATTATGGTGGGAAAAGAACAAAAATAAATTAAAAAATTGGTCAAGCCTGCCCCAAGCTCAAGCTCGATGGCTCGGTCCTCTAGCTCAGGCCGAGGCCTAAGTACCCCTGGGCCTGGGCTTGGGCCTGGGCCTGGGCTGCGATTTTGCACAAGTGGTTCATGATGGTGATGATCGTGGTAGTGGTTGTGGTGGTGGTGGTAGCGGCAGCGACAGCGGCAGTGGTAGTAAGTTTATCATAGAGTAAAATTGGCTTACCAACCCGCGACCCACCCGAAGCTCGCACTCCGCCCAGTGCGGCCAGGCCAGGCCAGGCTTAAGCCCAGCCTAAGACCTTGGGCTTGGGCCGTCTATTTTGAGGTCTGGTCCGGTCCTAGCTCGACCCACTGGCCCGTTCAAGGCCCAGCCCGCCCAAGGCCTACTCTCATTTCCAAACTATTTTGGTGGGAAAAGAACAAAAATAAATAAAAAAATTGGTCAAGCCTGCCCCAAGCTCAAGCTCGATGGCTCGGTCCTCTAGCTTAGGCCGAGGCCTGAGTACCCCTGGGCCTGGGCCTGGGCCGCGATTTTGCACAAGTGGTTCGGCTCGGACAGGCCCAATTTTTTATGGAAGCCCACTAGGCCTGACGACGGGTTGAACCGAGACCAGGTGGGCCGGGTCATGCCATTTTTACACCTCTAATCATAGTGTATATCGATACTTATATTTAATATTTATAAATTTAGTCAAAATTAAGTAAATTTCATGTGATTTAAAATTTTCTTAAGTTTTAATCTATATTTTAAGATGTACTAAAATTTTTAGATATCAATTGTAGTTATCAAAACGGACTTAATTGATTATTATTTAATTAATTTAATTTTAATTGTTGAATCCTATTAACAAACACATTTTATGTTTCGTTATGGTTGTTTGTCATTATTGCACAGCACAATTTTTTTATACTTTTATATTGAAATGGAGTTTGATTTAATTCCACATAAAAAAATAGATTTTTTTTTATATGTATATTTGATTTTTATTACATATAATTAAATATATTAACAACAGAAATTTAATTGTTCGGATTGTCAGAGCCTTTGCTCAAATCTAGACTAAATATCTTCGAATTGAAAATTTTTAGCCCAAATACAAACCAAATTTAGAATTATATACACTGTAAAACTTTATAAGTTAAACTAGAATTATTTGGGTTGAGTTGTCCAATCCAAATTATACCCCATTATGCAATAATCTATTAGCATAAATACTTGAGCATTATAAGCGGGTTTTATGGATTGAATTTATTTATTAATAAATCGTACTTCAGCTTTCAATGGTAAATTTATTGATATAAAAATATATTTAAAAAATATATGAATTCAACTACTTATATTTTTCATATCATATTTCCGTACAAATTAACATAAATGAATTAAAAATAAATCAAAACTCACAATATCCTAATCATTCATCATTTTAATAAATTTCTCAATCAAATAATTTATTTTATAACTACCATACACACACGTAATTTTTAAAAAAAAGTTACACTCAAGATGATAGCAACCTCTGTACTCCATTTGGCTGCCAATAACCAGCCACCCTACTCAAATTTACAAGCATTACACCTAGTTATGGTAGTGTCTCACTCACATTGTCGCATATTGCTGTGCGGGGTACAGTAATTATTATTGTACAATTAAATGAGTCCATTTTAGAATCTATTTTGATAATTTAAACTGTTCACATTTTAAAATACATAAGTAGAACATACTTGCAAAAAATTAAGTTAATCGTATATCGTTTATACTTTCATCCACTCACATTTGTATCTATCTACAAAAATAAATAACAATTGTGAATGAATATAAATGTGAGTAGATGAAAATGTAAACGATATCCGATTAACTTAATTTTTTGCAGGTATATTCTACTTTATGTATTATAAAATTTGAATGGTTGGAATTATCGAAATAGATCCCGTAATTGGCCCATTTGGCTGCATAACAATGGCTGCTGTGCACCCCACACAGCAGCCACCCCAAATCCACACAGAATAAGGTCTCTTTTGAAAAAATGGTTAAAAGTTGATTTTTTGGTTTTTTAATTTTTTTTTTTAAAAACGTGTAAAAAATAGAAAAAATGATGTGATCCCATATAGAGTAAATACTGACTTTTGACTATAACTAGATTCCCAAAAGGGGCCTAAGTGGGTCTTAGACCTCGTTTGGGAATAGGCTAATTTAGTAACTTTTTGGTTATTTGGTTAAAATATGAATTAAAAAAAACTAGTATGTTTGGGATAACTTTTTGGCTTTTTACGAAAAGATGTGTAAAAAGTAGAGAGAAAAGAGAATCTTTGACTTTTTGGTATGAATTGTTGATTTTTTAATTTTTTTAGTGACTTTTTAACTTTTTGACTAAACAGGACGCTTCCCAAACGAGACCTACAATATTGCACCAGTTATGTGCTCTTGGAATAGGATTTTTTTTTTGGAAAAATTTCAATTTAGGCTATGTTTTAAAAAATAATTACAATTAGGTAGTCAACTTTATAAATATTGATAATTAAAATCATAATTTTTTTTAATAAATTTATAAAACTAACACTGAAAGGTAATTTCCCCATTTTTCTTTTCTTCGTTGATAATGCAAAAACTAAAAATATACTTTCATTATTACCAATAAATCCCATTTCACAAACTATTAAACCAATTAGTCCTAACTTTATTCTTTTGTTCGGATAAGTCCTATCAGTGGGGAAGTTTGTTTTTTGCTGATCCTATTTTCCATAGTTAGTGTAACTGTGTGGACGATTTTACCCATATTTGTTATGTTTTTCGCCACCAATATCAAGATCTTATATATATATATATATATATGTATATATACCAATCCCCAAAACAGAGTTAGTTGTGACAGAGTGAGACCACAAGCAAGGCAAGGCAAGGCAAGGCAAAACCCAGAATTCAATCTGATTTTCGCTCCCATGGAGTGGGTTCGAGGCGATTTACTCGGCCATGGAAGCTTCGGAACAGTGAATTTAGGAATACCCAAGAGTCAGAGCCTTCAATTTCCTCCATTAATGGCCGTGAAAACTTGTGGGTCTTCACACTCTGCTTTGCTCGATCATGAAAAATCGATTCTACAACAACTCAAAGATTGCCCACAGATTATCGAGTGTTTCGGAGGAGATTTCAGCTTCGAAAACGGCGAGAAATTGTACAATCTGTTCTTAGAATACGCTATGGGTGGTTCTTTGGCTGACAAGCTCAAGAACTCCGGTCACCGGAGCTTGCCGGAATCCGAAGTCCGGCGACACACAGAGTCGATTCTAAAGGGTCTTCAATGTATTCACGAGAATGGGTTTGTTCACTGTGATCTCAAGCTTCAAAACGTTCTTCTATGTCAAAACGATGTCGCGAAGATCGCCGATTTTGGTTTGGAAAAGAAATCGGGAGAGAAGATCGTGGGTTTTGAGTTGAGAGGTACGCCGATGTATATGCCGCCGGAGACAGTGGTGGCCGGACAGCAGGAGGCGGCTGCGGACGTATGGGCTTTGGGGTGTTTGGTGACGGAGATGGTGGCCGGAACGCCGCCGTGGCTGTGTGACACTGTTAAAGCCAACAGTGTGTGTGTGTGTGCGCGTGTTGTGTGTGTGTGTGTGTTGTGTGTATGGTGTGTATGAGTGTGGCTGCTGGGTGTGTGTGTTAATGGTGTTTTGTGTGCATGGTGTCTTGTGTCTGCTAGAGAGAGAAGATATGTGTGTAGCTGAGTCTCCATGTAAGAGAGAGAATGCTGAGAGAGATGAGTGGTGTCTAAATGAGGGTAATTACGTCTCTCAGGATTTTTCAGGACTAAGCGGTTTACTAAAATAAAAATGGGACCAATTGGTTCATAAGTTTACATTTTGGGATTTATTGGTAAATCTCCCTAATTTCTTACTAATCAACTTAACTTACGTCATTTTTTTGTCATAAATTGTAATCAAAAGCAATGGCGGCGAAATTTTTAATGTGTTTGGTTTTAGTTTTCTGAATTTAATTTTTTTAAAATTAATTTTTTTTACTTTTCTTATTTTTTTATTTTTAGTGAATATTTTTAAAATTTTAAGCATTTTTTAAACTTTTTTAAATGCACCTTACTTAGATGTATCTAAAAAGTAAAATATTTGTAAAAAAAATATTTTAAAAATACGAAAAATATATTGACTTTTTGTATTTTTTATATTTTTGGTATTTAGTAAATTTTTTAAAGATTTTTTTTTAAGAAAATTATACTTTTGAGTATATTTATGTTAGGTGTGTCTAAAATTTAAAAAAATTATTTAAAATATTAAAAAAATTCCTTAAAAAAAAATACGAAAAACATTAAAATAAAATTTTTAAAAAGTGTTTTCAAAAAATTAGAAACAAATATGGTGAATGGTGATCTTCTTTATATTTAAATAGTATATTTTTTTTCTATTAATTTTTTTAATGTAAACTTTGTTTTTGCACTTTTACTCGGCTAACTAAAGTTTAGACGTTGTTCATCATTTCTATGTATCTTTGGGTCTTTCTTGATAGGTTTTGTTTTGTTTTTGTTTTGTTCTGTTTTATTTTGTTTGTTTGTTTGTTTTTTTTTTTTTTTTTTGGCCTCTGGGCAAGAAGATTTTTGTAAGCTTTTATTTTATTATTTTTATTTTTTTTGGGACACTAGGCTCGATGCTAATGAGTTAGTAAAATAAAGACTTAACCATTTAAAAGTCTTATTTATAAATATTATGCTAACTCAGGTCCTATATAAATTTTTTTAAAACAATAAGTCTTATTTAGTAAAATTAAGAATATTATCAATTTTTTTCCATTTACAATTAGAAACATTATCAATTTTGTATAGTAATATTCCAAATAATTATTTCACTAATCAATGAAAAAAATAAAGTATGAGATTAAATATTTTTGTTATTCTACTTATTAGTTTGATTCAACTATCTAACAAAATTAAGAAAATTATTAGTTTTTCCAGTTTAAAAGGAGAATATTATCAGTTTTTTCATTTTAATTTTTTTTTTTCAATTTTGCACATTGATGTTCCATCATCGCGCTCCTTTATAGACATAAAATTTTTGGTTTTGCACAAAAAAATAATTCAATTTTTTCAAAAAAAAAACAATTTTTTTTTTTTGGGCACATAATTTTTCTTTTAGTTTTTTCAATTTGAAAGTTGATATTTAAAATTTTGAAAATCAAAATAAATATCAAATCATCATGTTCATTTACATATAATCGTAAATGATGAATAATTATTATTTGAAGGGCAATTTTGACTATCAAAAGTTTAATGAGACTTGAAAGTCCATTAAGACGAAATGAAATATTGTTGGCTTTTTTGGCTTTCGAATGTTAATAGTGTAATTTTAAACGTGCCAGTAAGGATCAATCAGTCCTTACAGAAGATTAATTGTCAACCAATTATCAGACGATTGTGTTTTAGTTCTTTTAGCCTTAATGAAGAGGACTTCTATTGGTGGCTTGTTTAGGAGAATTTAGTAAATAACAACTAAGTCAAGAATAATTTCAGAATTTCATTAAGTAAAATGAAAAACTTACAATGATCTGACCCAACCTCGTAGAGGTTTACAGCAACAAGCTATTTGAAACTACTCCTATAAATGAAGTGCAATACAGGAATTTGAAGTACAGAAATGTAAAAAACTGTAAAAACTAGAAAGGAAAACAAAGTAAAGAAAACTGGTTTTTTGATCTGAGTTTGGATCTCTCATTCTGGGGCCTTCTCTACTATTTATACTTCTCAATGATAACCGTCGAAGTGGGCTTCCAACCGTCGAAATGTCCTCCCATGATTGCTGAACATACTCCCTCACAGTCAGTTTTACTACGCCACATTGTAGTTAGGCTTCCCTCATGATTTTGAATTTGAATTTAAACTTTGTGAGTAACCGTCAGGCCACATCACCTTATATTCTTTAATTGTTCCAGTGCCACGCAGATCTATTATTGTCAATACGGGCTGACATGTGTCTGACTTTGATTGTCAACTTGTATTAACTTCCTATATTGCCTCCTTCATGCCACGTATTGAATTGTGATTAGCTTTTACAATTTATACAACCAACATTACCTCCCGCACTATTATACCCATTACTTGGTGATATTAATGGATCAAAGCACTTTACCCACATCCGAGGACGTGCATGGGCTTTGCACCTTCTTAGAAATGTAACCAACATCCCTTATTGCAATGTTTGTACTGTATTAAATTCTCTTCTATGCCTCGAACATTTCCCACTATCTGAGCATTCGAAAAGGCTGATACAGTTCGCATGGCCAAACAAACATTTTCTTACATAGATCAAGCATACGAAGAGTTGTTAGATAATGATGTTCGCCCTCGAAAGAATTTTCATGCATTTATTAGCCACATATATCCATCTCTATTTATTCAAGTCATGGAAGCTTTTGTAATTCATCGACCTTTGGATCAAGAACGTATTGTTCACAATTCTTTAGTCCAAGACTTTGTAAGAATAGATATTGGAAGCTCTTCTTCTGTCACAAACCTTCTGCGTGGGATGAGACTGCTGCTTCCTCTTCTTTTTCTTCTTCTAAAGCTTCTGGCTGGGGAGTTTGGCCTACTCCTACTCAACCTCAAACGAGGGAACGCATCCATCATCGATTTCTTGAATTCGATGACCCTCTTGCAGTCCATTCTTCCAAGCGTAGCACTCTAGTGTACCTGTATACTCTTTTTAACCGTCTACGCAGCCTTGAGCACAACTTGCTTTTAGCATGGTGTACTTCTACTCTGCCATCCCGAATGGTGCGAAGGGCTCCACACCCTGACGAAGCCTTATGAATCAGTCTTGCACTCCTAGCCAAAAGAGCAAAACTTTGCTCCTTTGATTGGCTTGAGTGTGTAAACAAACCTAAATTCTCATCTTCTTTCAAAAAGGCTCCCACTACTCCTTTGCTGCCCCCTAACCCAAATTGGATTAAGGAATTAAGGCTCACCATCTTCGAGAGTCAACACTTCACTCCTCATCAAGCTCCAGTTCCCCCAACTGCTTATCAGCAATATAGGTCTCAGATCCTGCTTGCTGCTTTTTCCCATTTGTCCTTCGAAGTCTTACGAGATGATAATCCTCATAAGAACCTGTTATGGGCTTGTAACATCATTTCTCATAGCCATCTTCTTAACCCTGTAGCCCATGCAGAGCTCCATGCTTTTCTAGACCAACTTCCCCTCCTACTCAATTAGCATATCAATGCTTCAATTACAAATGAAGTATTGAATGAAACCGCTGCTGCTCGAATTCAAATTCAGTACGAGGCAAAGAATCTCCTCAAAGAATATGAGAACTTCAAAAACCCAGACTTAGAGTATAGAGAAGATGCCATTATGGGGGAAGCACGTGAGGAAAAGAAGATGGATGAGACAGAAAAGGCTCTTAAGCACATAGAATTTGAAATGAAAACCTAACAACCCTTCTTCCAATTAAGGGCTCATCAATTAGATAAACTAAATTTGGATAGGATAGAAGATAGATTAATAAAAGAGTATATGTTTATTAATTTTTGCTGGACTAGGTTTCATGACCTTGTAACTTTGTCTATTCCTTATTTTTACGAAATTGAAAATATAGCCAAATAAGTCTTCCCAATGTAAATATTTTATATCAATAAAGCTAGGATTTTCTTTCTTTAGTCAGCATGGTCTGGTTTATATTCTAATTGCATACTTGTAACCATTCTATTTGCCCAAAGCAAACAAAATCAGAGGTTTGAATTTACCAATTTTGTCATTCGAAACTTGATTTGAACATTTTCAATGGAATACTGGAAACCAAATTTGAATTTCTCCAACATATGGAGTGTAATTGACAATCCTTGTCTTAGGTTTTCTCATTCCAATCATATGGTTAACACCCTCCACAACTTTGAATTAACTATCTTTGCTTCAAAAAAACAGTCTACGTGTTTCGAAGTATGGAAACTTCACTTAGGGATTGCACTGTTTTATTCTTAAAGAGTGAGTCCCTTTGTGTTCTTTCACTACTTAACCAAATATTGGTTTTTTGCAACTTCAAAGTTTAAAACAAACAAATTCTAGCTGCAGAGTATTTCAAATTTTACTTCGAAGGGTTTTACTTTCAACAAGAAACCTAAAATCAAGTCTTTAATCTCCTTGAAGCAAGCAAACACTTGAGCATTCTTGTACTCTTAAGTATAAAACGTGCCTTGAAGTCAACTTCTTGCTTTCGAAGCCCTAGCTGGATGTTTGTCATTTGGCTTCGGAGCCAAAGCTTGGCTTCGAAGCCAAATATTTGATTTTGAAGCCAATATGAGTGTTTAAGATACGTTTCCCTCCCAAATGATCACTCTTGAGAGAAACTTTTCGTATCTGTACCTTCAGTACTTTTTATGAATTCTACCCATTTGAACTGATTGGGCATTTTTTGGACATAAAGTTTTAAAAACCCTTTCTTTTCGTGCTTTTAATTCACTTACTTGCTCAACACACAAACCTTTCATTTCTATTAACCTCTCATTTTCTTTACCCTTTTTCTCAACTTCGTCCTTTGAAAACTTCTATCAATGGCTTCTTCCTTCTTGAAGATACCAGTCGTGAAGTGTGTGAGCCTATCCGTTGCTTTAAAGAGGATCATTGCTGAAGAGTGTGAGAAATACAAAGCTAGCGTGAAAAGTGCTATCGATGGGCGCATTTTAATTCCATGTCACCATGAGTAACAGGAATATGTGCTTGGGCCTATTTTTAAAGAGGTCCCTACTCAGCTTCTAGCTCTGTACTAGCGTTTGGAGGACCACTGCCTCCTTTATGAGGCGGTCTTGATTGGGGAAGCTGGAGAGTGAACCGACCCCATCGCTACTGGCCTACAGTAAGACTAGAATGGAAAGAATGGTATGATCGGGTCGTCCTTGCTAGAACACTAGATCTCTAGGAACTTTACCTCTTCAACGCCGTCCAACTATCTAGGTTTACTATTTCGGAGGACCCATTTTTAATATCTGCTGCTCTTTGTTTTTAGAATTCTGCTTTCAATTTCTTCCAATTTAGATGTGGTATGATGGCCCCTATTGTCCTTGACATTTGTCATCTGTTAGGGTTATCCCCTATTGGTACTTCTTTTGGTCCAGACTATCCTGACCTCAACATCCCTTTTTCTCTTCCCCTTCTGAACTCCTCCTATAGTGACTTTGTCAAGGCTGAGAACAGAAGGGAAGACCCTGTGACTGATAGGGAATTCTTTTCTTTTTTATTGTATTGGCTTTGCAAATTCCTCTTCTGTACTTCTTCTCAGAGGATTATGCCTGAATTTGCCCCTCTTGCCAAAGCCTTTGTTTTGCATAAAAATGTGACCTTAGTTCCTTATGTTTTGGGTCATGTCTACAGAGCTTGTTCTATCTTTTGTGAAAAACCCATGGATGCCAATCAAGGAGGCCCATTTTAGATACTCCAACTCTGGCTTTTTGCATACTTCATTGATTTGCGTTTTAAATGTCTAAAATTTTAATTCCAAACCCTACCACTTATGGCATGAAGTTAGCCAATGTCTCTCTTTATTCTTCCAACTTTGCCTTCTACTTTTCTTTTTTTCACCAACTCCCAACTTTCCCTTCTTTTCACACATTTTCTGTCCCTTCGAAGCCAATATTGGCACAGCTTGGTTAAGGACCTTTTTAAGCGATAGGTCCTGCTCTAGGCCTTAGCACAAAAATATGTGGGCTTCTATTTTGATCCTGAGGGAGCTATTCATTGGTGCTATAAACTTTAAAGCTTATAAGTGTATCTCTGAGCCTTATTACCCTGCCCAATTTGCTAGGCAATTTGGACTCTCTCAGGAGATTCCTATCCCTCTTTGCAGTCAGTCTAACTCAAACCTTGCAAGCAGAGAACTGAAAGTTCCAAGATCCAGATTAGAAGAGGCAACCTCCAAGTTTATCCAAGACTTAATTGATTTTGAATACCTACCCTTCACTCCCTAAAGCAATATATTGAAGAGGTACCAGAATTGGTGGATGGCCAATATGGGGGTGCACTTGGCCATTTCTCCTCAAGATCTATTAGTGGTACTAGATGTGCCTCAAGTTAAGTCCAAGGAGACTAGAGTTATTACTTCCTCCACTGCTCACGCTACCCCAGCTCTTACCCCTGCTACCACAAAGTCTGTTCCTGTTGCCTCACCTCTTCCTAGAGTCATTAGAGCTGCTTTGAAGAAAGGTACGCACTGCTGCTTCATTTCTTTTCCTTTCCTTTTATGATGCTTTTGCTTATAATTCCTTTTTTGGTGTGGGTGCCTCACAAGGAGACTCTCCTCAAAGAGTTCAAGCTTTAAATCTCCTCAAGAACAAACAGTAACAATAAAGGAAAAGAAAACTCTTGCTTGATCCAGAAAAGGAGGTACTTGAGGCTTATGTGGAAGAAGAGGAATCAGAGAAAGAGTAGGAGATACCATTAAAAAGAAAGAAGAAATGATGGTCTCTCCCTCTGATTTTATTGGGGACTCCACTCATGAAGCGTCTGCTAAAGCAGTAGAAGTGGAACACTCTAAAGAGATCAGTGTTTCCAGAGGGCTGAGAAAAAGAGACAGCAGCAAGAACTAAGGGATGAAGTTGCTGCTGTTGATGCACTCCAAAGAGAAACTGTAAGGAGGCAACAAACTGCTGAACATTATACCCTTCACAGTTTTCCAACCATTGCTATCACTTCTGAAATTGATAATTTCCTTTTGTGTCTCTAGTTTCCTTTCTCAAGTTTTCAATACTGAAATTTAACATTGCTTCATATTTCTTATTCTGCAGCAACAGTTATTCTACCTCCTTCTTCGATAACGGTTTCTCCAGTCTTATCTGAAGTTGAAAGACCATCCGAAACACCTTCGAAAAGGAGAAAGAAAATCGACAGTAAAGTGCCTTTAAGTGTGGAGTCCATCCAGGCAATACTCCAACTTCCTGTTTTCACACTTTTCACACCTTTTTTGAGGCAAAGCATTCCTATATTTTTATCCTTTGGCTTAACCCCATACCTTCCTCACCTAACCTTTAACTTAGCGCAATTTTCTCTCTCCCACAATCCTTGCTGCTCCTTCTCCTCTTGAGGAGATCCCAGCTATTACGTCATCTCCAGTGATAGCTGATTCTCCTAGAGAAGATACTGGTAACTCACCAATTCTTTGTCAACCATCACTATCCAGCTCCAGCCCTTCTTCTCTTGATCTACTGGTGGCTAGGACTAAGGAAACTGGTAGGGATACTTCATCCTTCATCCTTCTCTCCTATCCCTATGTAGCCACCTCTTCATTCTACTAGAGTGTGACAACCCTCACCTCTGATTAGCATTAATCTGTGGTTAAGCATGATACATAACTGATTAAGATGAAATTCTAATTTGGTTACATGAGTGTATTGTTTAATTGCATTTCTATCTGTTTGTTATTGAATGATCTGTTCATGTTTTGATGTCAAATTGCGAATTGAAAGCTTTATCGGCGATCGATTCAGAAATTGATTTGTGTTATATGCTAATTCGGATTTATATGATTTTATGGTAGGTTTAATTAAAATTCAATTTGGAATGATTAAATTAGAATAAACAATGCTAAACTAATTGAATCTAGGTTAATTACATTTTTTCCATTTAGTGGGCCACCTTCAAAACCATTGTCTTGGGCTTAATTTCACATACTTTACTCACCATTCTCCATCCACCTCATTACAACCGTGAGAGAGAGAGAGAGAGAGAGAGAGAGAGAGAATAGGGGAAAATTGAATTCATCTAGAGATTGGCTTGGCAACTTAGAAGAATTGTGAAGACTTAAGAAATTAGGCTTCTACACTTGGAATTCAAGACTTAAGGTAGGGAATTCATTCTCTTAATTGTGAATTTAAGTTGTCGCATGCATGGTTCATGGAAAGATTGGTGATTAGAGTCAAAGTTTAGCTTACAGTGTTGATTTGAGAGTCCATTCATACATGCATAATCATATCAAGCAAATTTGAAGTTGTCTTCTTGTGAATTTCCACATGGATGTCCATATTATGGTTATACTCTAGAAATTCACCATGTTTTTGTGTTCAATCTTGCAATTGATCATGCTTTGGAGCATTAGAGTTTTTAAGAGCTCATGCATGTTATGTTCTTGCATTATTCTTCAAGTCTACATTGGAATTTGCGTTTAATTGTCACACCTTTGGGCTTGATTTTATGAAATGATCTTTAAAACATGTGGTATTATGATTTTCTAAGTATTTTCCAGAAAATTGGCCCAGAAAAATCGAGTTTGGAGCTTTTAAGCTTGAGTTTTGTGCTTGAGGATTAACCTGAAAATTCCAGATTTTTGATCCACGCTCGAGCGGAGAACTTCGCGCTCGAGCGTACAGTCTGAGTACATACACTTCCGCTCGAGCGTCTAAAGTCACGCTCGAGTGTGAAATGCATATGCCCAGAAGTTCATGTGTTTT